TTCACCGGAGTTGTGTAAATTTCGGATCTTGTTGAGACCATTAACCAATCCGCCTCCCTAGTGAAGTCACCAAATGTATGAGAGGTTCAAGAACGTCGTTGGAAAATTTGAAGATCTTCAAAGATCTTTGAAGAAAAATTCGAATTCTCTAAAAAATGATGAGAAGCTTAGATTCTTCAATAGTCACAACCAAGAACACAAAAGCAAAGAGATGTTGGAGATAAGAAATTGGGTAAAAAAGAAGGCAAAGTAATTAGAGAGAGAATAATGACAAGGCTCTCACATGGATCTCCCATTTTCACTCTCAAGGTTGATAATGGAAAAGGGAAATTAGTTCTTTCCTAAGAGTTATCTCTCCAAAATCCATCCCTTGTAAAGCTATGGGTGGGTACTATTTATAGGCACCGCATGATATTGGATGGAGCCCATGTGCAAGGCACATGGGGAATATTCTCTCTAACCACCTTGTCTGAGAAGGTGACCTCTCTGAGGATGAGAAAAATCCCGAAAAGGAGATCAACCTCTCGGCAAACCCTTCTTCTTAGCCACACCTAACCAATGATCCCCAATCATTCCAAAGGGTCAGGGGTAGTCCCAGAGGAAGCCCTGCCATAGAAGGGTCAGGGTAGTTCAAGAGAACACCTTGTCGCAAATATTGTCGAGTCTTATGGACCCCCCGGGGTCGTGCCACCTCGACCCGGGTATAGGCTAGTTTAACCGAAGAGTGAATTTATCTCCACTCACCGTCCTCAGGATTGAGTTCTTTGTTTGAACTCCATTGTGTCCATGGTTCTGGTGCGTAGATCCCGGAAAGCTCCAAGCCCGCAAGTGTTCTGGGACTCATTAATGGAGCGGCTTCTAGATTGCGTCTGAATCTGTTCGAAGCCAAGTGCTTCGGATCTCTAGGTTTGTGAATCCAAACCCTTTCGAGTTCGGACCCGAGTAAGTCTCTAAGTTTGTGGATTTGAACCCTTTCGAGACTTAGAGCGATTCGGTCTGTTTGATGGTGATAAATCCAGACCCACCAATCTTGGACTTGCGATAAATTCGGGCTCACCAACCTTAGACTATTGGGCCTAATTAATTTAGTGGGCTCAAATTAGCTCCTCTTACAAAACCCAAAAAATAATTGTGTGGTGGAACACATATCACTATAAAAAGACTTTTTGGATAAATTAAACCATTAATCTTTTTAGTTTGAATTAAATTTTATTTTAGTCCTCGTTTAATTTGAGCAATTTGTTCTTATACTTTCACGTTTGTTACAATGTGGTTTGTCCGTCATACCTTGTTAACAAAAGACTTTTTTGGATAAATTACACCATTAATCCTTCTAGTTTGAATGAAATTTCATTTTTGTCCTCTTAGTTTCAATTTGAATAATTTGATCCTTACACTTTCATTTTTGTTGTAATGTGGTCTGTCCGTCACTTAATTAGACTATTACAATGGGCTTGACTATACCTAATAATTTTCACATACAAAAATTATTAGGTGAACGAATGAGTAGTTCATTTAATTTGTATTGGTTGTATTAGTGAATTTAATTTGTTTTGGTTATGAATAAGCTTGAGTTAAATTTAATTTATTTTAGCTTGCATTAAACAATATTTTACTCTTTGTTTTATGTTCAAATTTTATTTATTTTAATTATTTATTATTATTTGATTCACTTATATTTATATATAGGAGAACCGTGGTTCTAATCCGAATCAACCTGAGCTATATTGGGTTGGTTCTAGTGTATGATTAGTTTGGTTCTAGGTCTAACAACTTGGAACCAATCATGGTTGAGTTGGTTCTAAATTTAATGTCAAACTAAACCAAACCGGCCTATGAACACCCCTAGTCCGTCATACGTTGTTAACATTTTGAATGGAAAAATATCACGTGCAAAACTAAAAGGATTGAAGTGAAATTCGAATCAAACTACACATGATCTTTTTCAGTTTCAAATTTTAACGGTAAGTGACGAAGGGATCACATTACAATAAAATTGAAAATGTAGAGAATAAATTATTCAAATTGAAACACTGAAAATTAAAGTGATACTTTACTTTTGTTGCGCTTATTTGTTTATTTAAGTTGTCTTATCACATCTTTACTTTTATATATATCTTTTCATAAAAAATTAAAAAATCACTAAATAAACAAATCCCAAACCACAATGATATAATTTACCTTAAGCATTTCATTTGCCAATGGGACCTATGGTTTGATAATGGAAGGTTAGCAATGATAAAGGAGGGTAGTTTCCATACTTGCATATGTATCAACTTTTTAAAGATATGTGGAACAAACTAGAATATTTGGAAGAGCAGATAGCACTTGAAATGGATAATATACATGTACGGGGAGGAAATAATTCTCCTCGTATAATCCTGTTGACCAAGTCCACGCTCCTCCGTACGACGTCGCTTTGTCACCTGAAAACACAAACGTGAGCTAGCCGGCGGGTGTGTGCCGGAAACCTCTCCGATGCCTAAGTCAGAAAAACTTGACAAATAGACAAAGCTCAAAGTTCTCAGAAAGATTTTGTTCAATTACCTCCTCCAAGGTGTTGCTTGTGAGCTTTTATAAGTTTCGTATGGCACAATCCTAGTAGGACTTGTACTTCTCCATGCAGAGTCCTCCTAGGATTCATTCTCCTAAGGATAATGCTTATCCTTTTGCACCCTCCCCCACTGCTTAAACCAAGTGGGATGGTTTTCTCCATAGCTTTCCCTTTAGTCCATATGTACCTGAAAATTAACACTGTTATTCAAAGAATTAGACAAAACACAACAATTAGAAGCCGCATTACCTAGATCCCCCAAATCAGTGCGATCTCTGGTTATCAATTTAAGAATAGAAAGAACACAAATTAACTAAGCAAAAACCTTACAAAGGTCAAGGAACAAATTGGGGGAGGCTGGAAATCACAAATAGTAAAGTTGGGAATAAACTTCAAAAAGATAATGTTAATTATAAAATGATAATGATTCATTCCTTAATTTTGTTGTCCAATTTCAAATTAGGGAATGTTCAAAAAATTTCAAATTAGGGAGGTTAAAAATGAGAGGGAGAGGAGTACGTGATCGTTTTATATGGAGGTGAACCATCTCATTAGAGATGGAATTAAAGGGATAAAATTAAGGGCATATAGCATTACTCTTCATAAAATTCATAGGAAAAATTTACAAAAATGATGTAATAATATCATTATTGTAATCTTTAATGATATTTTATTTTGGAGTGAAATATCCACAATAAATAATATTATTATGTATAAATTTTTTATTCATATAACAATACTCTTTTTTAATTTTGACATTAATTATTTAGACATTATTCAAGTACACCGTGTATGATTTATACTCGGGAAATCCTAATATGCACTCCTAATTATGTCATTTTGTTTTTTAGTTATGACCATTTTTTTTTCTTTAGTTATTATGCCTCATATTATATATAGTTATGATTTTTTTTCTTTTTTTTTAGTTATGACTCAAAAAATTGAAGTTATATCATTTTCCTTTTTAATTATAAGGTGCATATGGTACACACCTTTTGAAGGATTTGCACCCTTTGAAGGATGTGCACCATAGTATTTCCCTTCATACTCAAAATAATCGATAATTAAGGCATAACACAAGTTTTAATTTAGCAAAATATTTAAGACTCATAAAAATTCTCTCATAATTTATACCCTATAATGATATAACATGGTAGATGTTAACTTTTGATTTACCCCTCTCAATTGTGTAGGGCCTATCCCCTTGTCATACCATTATAAGGGAATTTAGGGGTGTAATGGCTCTCTCTAGCCCTTCTCTTTAATTTATTATGTTCAGATTGGACATTAAGCTTGGATTAAAGGTTGAATTTTTAGTAACACTGCATAACTCAAACAGAATTGAATTGTACCCACTTTAAACCATAAACTGGTTAAAAAGGGTGAAGTTGCCTTGGGCTTGCACATGGGTGAGGGTTATGCAAAATAGAAGTAGCACATCCATAAGCAATAGAGCCCATAGTTTTAAGATTCAATGCTAACATCAGCCACTAGTTAATAGTAGTTTCACTTAATCATTGTTGAAATAATAAGGTAAAAATTCTAATTTAACATATTACAATAGGAGCCATCACAACAGCCACATTATAATAATCCACTCCAAAACTTTCTTTAACATGTCAAAAAATTGCTAATGTATTCTCCTGTGCAAATTGACAAGCCACTAAAGAAAGATTGTTTTTAGTGAAACTGTAATTATTTAACAATACAGGTCATTATAACTACTCACTGGAGTTTAAGGACAATAAACTGCAAAACTAGTTCCGTTTCATATATTTCTAAAGACTTATCTATTGTTATAGACTTGACACATTTTATACAATTTTTTACACGTATATCGAAGCTAATGATAGCATTTTCCTACAGACTGAATAACTGAGAAACAATACAAGGACTAGAGAGGCTAGTGCAGTATTGATAAAGAAATTCACTCAGGTATCAAGTTCACCAAAGCCACCAACCACAACAACAGCCACAAGTGTGATGCTCTACATATATTCATGAAAATGTAAGAATTCATTTAGAATTTCAAATAGGATTACAATAATATTGCCCCGAAAACAGAAATATGTACAAGCACCAAATTTGCATTTGATTCAAGAAGGGAAGCCATGATAGCAAAAGGCATATTAGCCACAAAAACTAAGCTATATGTTAGAATTTACCATTCACACTCACCTACTACACTCCACCTACCACCAATTTACCCTCACCTACTCCTCACCTACTACCCAAACCCTCTCCTATATAATGCCACTCTGATTTGTAATCAATACATCAATCAATAATACAATTCTCTTTATACATTGATACATTGTATTTCAACATGGTATCAGAGCGGGTTTAGAACCTAGAATTTTTTCGCTTCACCGGCGGGCGGCAACCTCACCTTAGCCGTCCGCCGGACCTCACCCTAATCCGCTAAAATTTTCTACACATACCTTGAAATTTATTCGAGTCCACCAACACCACTGCACAATCCTCTGCTCGTCAACCTTTTGTTTCCAACTTTTTATCAGCCACCATGAACACCAAGATTGGCTCCTTAAGAGTTCCACCAGCTTCTCTACCTGTATTTCCTGTCCTCTTCATGATTGTCCTCGCACCCGTCTACAACCATATCATCGTCCCATTTTCCAAGGCAGTAACCAAAACCGAAATGGGTATCACTCATTTACAACGAATTGGGACAGGGCTAGTTCTTTCTATCGTGGCCATGGCCGTTGCAGCTCTGGTTGAACTAAAGCGAAAAAGGGTCGCAGTCCAATCTGGTCTTGTGAACTCCACTGAACCTCTTCCCATCACATTCCTTTGGATCGCTTTGCAATACTTGTTTTTAGGGTCGGCTGATCTCTTTAGCTTGGCTGGCATGATGGAATTCTTCTTCACAGAAGCCCCCTTTAGCATGAGATCTTTGGCCACAGCTCTGTCATGGGCCTCATTAGCAATGGGGTACTACCTCAGCTCAGTACTCGTAACCTTAGTCAACAATGTCACTGTTACCTTCCAGCACAAACCATGGCTCTTTGGTAGCAACTTGAATCATTATCACCTCGAAAGGTTTTACTGGTTAATGTGCATATTAAGTGGACTGAATTTTTTAAATTACCTCCTTTGGACTAGGCGCTACCAGTATAGATCAACAAAGCCCGACAATCAGAAGGAAATTCAACCACTGAATCAGTCCACAGAGGTCTGATTGCCCCTGTTAACATGTATAGCTGTAAAAGATCTTGCATCTGTAAAGGTCACATGTGTAGCTGTAAAGAAGAGACCTTCACTTTAGCTTTAACTTCTCTCAATGTAAACCAAGCATCCGATGCTAATTGTCTCCCTCTCCTCTCTATAAAGAGAGGGAGCTTGCTCTCTTGTAACTACACAGAAATATAATATAACAACACCAACTTTCATTCTCTCTGTTCTCTTCCTCGTTACCAAACTCACATGGTATCAGAGCTTAGAAACACAATTCTGGCATCCCTCAATTTTAGGTCTTAGTTCCGTACACAGTGGACTATACCAAACAGCTCGGAATTTCCCTACGATCCCAACGGCACCAAGCCCATCACCAAACAAGCCTTCACGCGCTCTCACGCGCCGCTTCTTCTCTCGGCGCGTCTCTGCTTCCGTTGCCACTCTCACACGCGCTTCCACGCGCCTTCCATCCTGCCCTGTCGTGCGCCGCACCTGCTACCGTGCACCAGCGTGCGCCGTTCGACTACCGTGAGCCGCGTGTGCGCCGTTCTAGAAGCTTGGAACACAACAATCAACCCATTTCATGGTTTGATACACTACTTCATCAAATCCAGCAACAGTTACACTATCTTCCTTCTCTTGATCTCGGCTGCTCTGTCCCTATTAACCGAGATATTGATGGAAGGCCTTAAATACGGGTGGGCAGATGGTGTTACGATACTGGCCTCCGTGTTCTTGCTTGTCACCGTCCCTGCGGTGACTAACTTTGTCGGAGCAATGAAGCTAAAGAAGAAATTGCAAAGGAAAGAGAACAAAGTAGAAGTTACAAGAGATGGGTCGCCCCAAATTGTTGGAGTCTCAAGAATAAGGTTGGGTGATATTGTGAATTTGAAAGAGGGCGATCGGGTTCCTGCAGATGGTTTGTTTGTTGGTTCTGGTGGTGACAAGTTGGTGTTGGATGAGGTATTTGCCTCCGAAATCGATTCTGATCACAACCCTTTTCTTTTATCTGGTTTTAAGGTACGTAAACCTTGTGTTTTGTGTTATTTGTCTTTCCACACAATGTAGCACATTGCATGAGTAATTCGTTTCAAGAATCAAAGTATAGAACACTGGACACACACACAAAAAAAAATCTCTAGTTTTAGCCGAGTTTCATTTTTTACCATGCTTTAATTTGAACATATTTGCACTCCATTTTGGGTTGTGTCAAGTAAGGACAATAAAAATC